AGAAATGAAGGGAGTTAAGTAAGAAAACATAAGGTAATATAAGAAGCTGAAGGACAGTCAGGTACCCTAGAGCAGTGGAGGATTGGCCGTGCGGTGTCACTCAGTTAACGTGGTTGGCAACTTCAGCACATTGCAGGCAGTACCAAGGTAGCGGCCCCCCGTCTGAGGGCCCCCTGTCCGAAGCTTGTCTCGTAACCATCGGCCGCCGCCTTGCATTCCATCGCCTTTTGTTTTGCCTGCAACACCCGACCGCGCGACAGGCGAAAGCTTCCCAAATCCTCTCATACTTTTCTCCAATATCTGGAACATTTTCGCCCAAGTCGGTTACACGGCGCAAAAGCTGCATAAGGTGAGACCTCTATCCGAATAAATCTCCTCAATTCGACTCCACATCGTCAACAAGCAAGCCCCCTCAAGAATTCCATTACCCAAAAGGCAAACTAATTCTGGGCGTTTCTTCGACTAAGCCTCCTTTGCTTTTTTCTGCCTGGCTATGCCCATACCGATGATGCCATTTCTCTCGAGACCCGAATCCTCATGCTAATTGTCTACGATACAAAGACGCAGGAACGAACTTGGCGACCGAGTCTAGCACCCAGCGAATCTCCCTGGCGCGCCCCTCCCGGCATTGTCGTCATGAAGTTCGGCGAGCAGCTCCGCTCGAGCATCATCCGCGAGTACCAATGGTACTACATCGACTACGACGCCCTCAAGGCCGACCTCAAGACCGCCACGGGCCCCGTCACACCCGTCGACAATAGCAATGGCAAGGGCAAGGGCGGCAAGCGCGAGTGGTCCGAGGAGGATGAGGGCCGCTTCGTCAAGAAGCTCGAGGCCGAGCTCGACAAGGTCCATACGAAGCAGCAGGTCAAGGCCATGGAGATCTCGAGGCGCATTGCCGTGAGCGAGCGCGAGGTCAAGGGCGTCGTCAATCGTCTCGTCGAGCGCGGCCCCCGCGAGGAGGGCCCTAGTGAGGAAGAGTTCATGCTGCTCGAGGAGGACTTGAGCGACATTATTGCCGATGTCCACGATCTTGCCAAGTTTGTCCAGCTCAACTATACTGGTTTTTACAAGATTATTAAGAAGCATGACGTGAGGCATTCCTTGCGACATTGAACGTTCGGGCGGATCACTGACGAGGCATAGAAAACAACTGGCTGGCACCTCAAGCCCGTCTTCGACACCCGACTCAAGGCGAAACCATTTTACAAGGAAAACTATGACGCTTCCGTAGTTCAGCTTTCCAAGTTGTACGATCTGGTCAGGACGAGAGGAAACCCAGTTAAGGGTGACAGCGCAGCCGGCGGCTCTCAGGGAAGCTTCGTTCGCAATACGACAAAGTACTGGGTCCACCCAGACAACGTGACGGAGCTGAAGCTCATCATCTTGAAGCACTTGCCCGTACTTGTCTTTAATGCAAGCAAGGAGTTTGAGATCCAGGACTCGGCCATCACGTCCATCTACTACGACAACCCGGAGACTTGGGATCTGTACGAGGGCCGTCTGAAGAAGACGGAGGGTGCCGAGGCCATCCGCCTGAGATGGTACGGTGGGATGCAGAGCGAGAACATCTTTGTCGAGCGCAAGACCCATCGCGAGGACTGGACCGGGGAGAAATCCGTCAAGGCGCGATTCTCGGTCAAGGAGAAGAACGTCAACGCCTACATGCGCGGTGAGCTGCTCCCCGCCGCTCTCTTCGAAAAGGCGCGTAAGGAGGGCAAGAAGCCCGAGAAGGCGATTGCCGAGGACGAGAGACTCGCAAAGGAGGTCCAGTACTCGACTCTCAAGAAGGGATACAAGCCGGTGTGCAGATCCTTCTACAATCGTACCGCCTTCCAGCTTCCCGCTGATGCTCGAGTCCGTATCTCGCTCGACACGGAGTTGACCATGGTCCGCGAGGACAACCTAGACGGCCGTAAGAGGTCCGGTGACAACTGGAGACGTATGGACATTGGTATCGACTATCCCTTTTCGCAACTGCCCCCCGAAGACATTGTGCGCTTCCCTTACGCCGTTCTCGAGGTCAAGCTTCAGACGCAGCTCGGCCAAGAACCTCCGGAATGGGTTCGCCAGCTCATTTCCAGCCATCTTGTGGAGGCCGTGCCCAAGTTCTCAAAGTTCATTCACGGAGTCGCTTGCCTCTTCCCCGACCGCATCAACCTGCTTCCCTTCTGGATGCCGCAGATGGACGTGGATATCCGGAAGCCCGTTACGCACGACTTTGGAATCCACAGACCCAACCAGTCGGCAACTACCACTACATCAGATGATGACGAGGATGACGAGCTAGACTCTGATGACGAGGAGGGTCCATTGGTAGCCAGCAATAATGGTGCCACCAACGGAGAGTCGAGTGGTCAGGGAGCTGCCAGGAACGGCGGGACCGCGCTCGATGTCGAAGGCCAGACCGTCGATACCATTGCCCCCGTCGACAACGAAGACTTTCTGTACGACTCGGACGAGGAGTACGACGCCGACGAGGCCCTCGAGGAAGCCAGACGGGTCGGAGGCTGGACTTACTACAAGGCGCTTGCCTCTACAAAGGCACAAGCGGTTGGCGAGCGCGCCATCGATGTGCTCAAGTGGGCCGTGCCGCACCCCCGTGGTTCTGTGATCCCTAGGCGCGAAGTGCAAACAACGCTCTTCGGCTCGGGGCCGATTCAAACCAAAAGGTTCAAGGCCCCCAAGGGCAAGAAGATTTACGTGCCGGTCCGCGTGGAACCCAAGGTGTACTTTGCCGCCGAGAGAACCTTCCTCGGATGGGTGAGTCTCTCATATCCTCTTAACAAGAAATCCCCGAACAGCTGCTAACACAACCAAAAAAAAAATAGCTCGAATACTCCATCTACGTCGGCACCGTCGCCGTCACGCTCCTCAACTTTGGCTCCAAGCCCACGCCCATGTCCTTCATCGTGGCCGGCGTCTTCACCCTCCTCGCCATCATGTCGCTCTGCTATTCGGTCGTGATCTACCTGTACCGGAGCAACGCCATCCGCAACCGCAAGGCGGCCAAGTTTTACGACAAGTGGGGGCCTAGCGCGCTCTGCGCTTCCTTGTTCATTGCCGTCCTGCTTAACTTTGCGTTTGAGGGCAATGCGAGGGAGTATTGGTGAGACTGAGGATTGTCTGGGTGGTGGGTGTCTGTGTGTGGTGTCTAAAGTAGTCTTACCTTATATCTTGGAAAAAGCGGATTGTGTTGTTTTCTTTTTTACGTATTGTGTATTGTAGCGAAATCGTCTAAAGATGGTCTATTAGAAATTGGTGGGTTTGTTGTGGTTGTCCTTTTCAGACATGTTTCCTTTCCTCGACTGCATAACATAACATATCCTAGATGAAGTAGGTAGGATCTAATGGATAGGATCTGATTGTGATCGCCTCCAGTGTTCCGTATCTCTTAACACGGCCAAGTTTGTTCCCTTTTCTATCGTACATCATTCATCTCATTGTGTGTAATGAAGTTCTATTTTTTTCTACCTCGTCATCCTGGTTAGAAAATGGCGCAGAAATGATTTCAAGATTAGAGAATTTTGTGATATTCTACCATGTTCGTGTTTTGCACTCCCCAGCTCGAATATAGGAACATTAAAGTCTTCAAGCGAGTCACCAATAACTTCAATCCGCCCGAGAAGCCTACCGCCCGGCACGAGAGTCCGGAGTCAGGATCTCTTTTCTTTGGGCTTCCTTGGCATCAGGGCGTTCGCTGTTTACGCTTTCTCTCTAGGGGGCGCCGGCGGAACTGTTAGATCTGTCGGCCATTGAGAAACCACCATTTAACCTTCTATTCGAAATCAAGCCACAGATATGGATTCAATTCGGAGGATGTAAGTGATGGCCGATGAGTTACGGACAGTCATGCCACGGAGCTTTTTGAGGCGGAATTGAGGAGGAGCATGGTGAAGTTTGAACAGGCGCCAAGAAAGGTACCTTACCTTGGATGCGATGGATGAGGCGTGCCTCCGGAGACAACAGGCTGAGCTGATTGACCATAAATCTGGCGGTTCAAGGTGCAAGGTTGGGCTCTGCACAGCAATTTAATCCCCCCCCAAGGGGATGAAGATGAGAAGCAGGCTGACGAGCTGGCCACTCACTAGGTACGGTAGGTACCTAGGTAGCTTTCGGCATTTGTGCTGCATTAGGTATTTCACGGATCCTTAGGTTCATTGCGATTTTAACCCCTCCAAAGGGTTGGATGTGCGTGACTGAGGTCGAAAAAGGTTTCACTGCGATTTTAACCCCTCCCAAAGGGTTGGATGTGAGAAGCGGGCTCATGTGCTGACTGAGTACCTCACAGCTTTCACTGCGATTTTAACCCCTCCCAAAGGGTTGAGTAGGATGAACAAGCTACTTATTTGCCCTTATTGGTGGCGGAGATGACGACTGGAGCTGGGTCAAAGTAATTTCCACTCCTCCTAGAAGGTTGGATCAGGTAAGAGAAGAACCACTGGAATATACGTACATATTCGTACCAAGTCTGTCCGCTTTTGCACTACCTGCGCAGGTTTATCTGTTCGAAATATGGCATCAGATCGAGTAACTCCATAGGAGGTTAGGAAAGCCATGTTATGGGCGCGATGGAGGCCGGATGGAGGAGCTTGAATATGGCTGAGCCTTGACCTTTTTTCAACTGGGACAATTGGTGGTATGAAGCTCAGAGAGCCCACCCCGCGAAACCAAACGTTGGTTGCTGTTCATAATACTGCGATGTTGGCTTATTCAGAAATACCAGTTACCTTGAATCGTCGACTTAGTACCTTAGTCGTGAGAGCAATTCACTTTCACTTTTACTTCCGGGGGAACAATACCACAATAATGGCGTAAACGGTTGTTGAAGCTATCTAATTACCCTAATACCAAAAAAGCACTTATGCAAGCCAAACTCAAGAAATTCACAATATCCCAAACTCCAAAATCATAAACCGTGAAGCTTCCATTACATCCAACCGTTTCCACCAAAAAGAAAGCTTCCTTCTCAAGTAAGAAGCAGCAAATATCTGACTCTCCTACTCGATGTCAACCTTGTGAATCTCAGTCCACTCCTTCTCGACCTTGGGCACAGTCACCACCAAGATTCCATCCTCCATCTTGGCCGTGATAGCCAGCGCGTCAATCTCCTCCCCTCTCTCCGAGGCAGCAGGAGCATTCTGACGCGTACGAGGCGGCAGCGGCACAGACCGGCTAAACATTCCGATCCTCCGCTCCCCGGACGCCAAAGTCGCCAGGAAGTCCTCGTCGCCGGGCCGGTACACCACGCCCGCGACGCGTAGCTCGCCCCTGTCGGCGTCCCAGTTCACGCCGACGTCCTCCTTCTTGGCGCCGGGGAGGGCAAAGTGCAGCACATAGGCGCGGTCCGTGGAGAAGACGTCGACGGGGGGCGTGAATGCCGAGTCCATGTCGGCGTTGTCGTTGTCGGCGGCCGCACCACCATCGCGGGTGCCGGCGGCGTTGTTGTTGAGACCGCCGAAGCGGGTGGCCCAGTCGCGGACTTGTTGGGCAAAGGGGTGGTCGGCGAACTGGTTCAGCCACTCTTGCCAGTTTGCGAAATCAAAGGTGCCGGCTGGGTTGTGGCCGTAGGGCGGGGGAGGGGGTGGAGGCGGGTGCGGTGCGCCGAAGGGGGGGCGGGGGACCGGGGGGAGGTGGTGGGCCCCGGTGGCCGTGGTGGCCGTGTCTGCTGTGGCGCGCGCCCCAGGGATCGGATCCGCCGCCGGGGGGTCCACCGCCGAAGCGACCTCCGCGACCTCCGCGGCCTGGACCGCCGCGGCGGCCGGGGCCATGGTGGTGGTGAGGGTGGGGATGGGGATGACCTGCGTGCTCGGGGCCGTCTTCGTTGGGACCGTCACGCATGGTATCGGGGGAGTCGTCCTTTTCCTTGTCGGAGAAGTCGCCCTCTTCGGGGGTATCGTCTGCGTTGCGCATGGTCTCGTCGACGACCTCGCCCTCGCCGTCGTTCATGTCGCCGCGTCGTCCGTGGTGACCTCTGCCGCCGCATCGACCGCCACCGCGGCGACGACCACCGAATCCACCGCGGAAATCACCCCAACCGCCGTAGGGACCTCCCCAGCCGCCAGGGCCACCGGGGCCGCCGCCAAAGGGGTGTTCGGCACCGTGGAAGGGGAAGCCTGGGGGGAAGTTTGCCCAGGGACCGGGGCCGGTGGAGTGGTCTACACCGGCGCCGGCGCGCATGTTGGGGTCGAGGGAGTGGATGAAGCTCCAGAGGCCTTGAGGGCCACCTGGGCGACCCCAAGGATTGTTATTACCGTTTGGACCTGCCCAAGACATGTTGGATTGTTGCATGTGATTGTGTGATTGTTTGTGGGTGTGGGTTGATGAGGTTTGTGTAAGTGAGGAGTAGGATGGTGAGGATGGTGATGATTGTCGGAAAGCAATGAAGCTGAGGAGGGAAAGGAAAGAAAGAGCATGATGACGATAAAGGAGTTCATTTATATATCAGGAGACGACGACGACAGGGCCATATCATTTACAAGGCAGGAGCATGCGTAGGCCTTTCGTCTGATACACTACTGGCAAAACGTGGAAGGCAAAAACACTTGCGAAAGCACCAGGTCGAACCAGTCAGAGCCACACTCAATACACCTCTAGCCTCGAGCGGTCGAACAGGTCAGAATGGTTTCGAAGGGAAAGGGCATGGGCACATGGGGAGAGGTACAACATCGCCACGCGTCGTCGTGGTAGGGCGATCGGCCCAAACAGCTCATTGGATCCCCGTCGGTGGGCGGTAGACTTCTACACCGAGCTCCGAACCATCAATTTGTTGATGGCGTAGGGCAAATGTCCGCGGCGGAGTGTAGATTCAGGCGTGGTCGGAGACCGAATAAGAAGGTTCCTTAGCTACGCCTTCATGACTCTAGACTGCTAGAGAAAAGCCGCGTATTGTTTGATTGCCTTGGAGAGAACGCCGCCGTCGCCGCCATTTCTCTGACACGTCCCATGTCAGTTGTGTTACGCAGCCCGCGCGGGACCGAGCAAAAAAGCTTCAGCTGAGCAGCCTAGAGCCCGGGCCCGGGAATGGGCTGTTGGCAGCGGGATATGGTGAAGTGCGGGGTGGAGTGTGGCGTAACTCGGTCCCGCTGTGTCAGTTTGCGATGAGCTCGGGAATTGGGAACTTGCGTGTGCCACACTTCAAGCACATGGGAATCGGGTGCAGCTTCAGATTGCGGATAGTGGGTGGTCACTGAGATGGTGCTTGATTCTTCGCCACTGGCAGCAGAGAGGACGCGCACGCCAAACTGAGGCCTCAATTCGTGGCTGGTGTTGTTGGTCCATGCAATGTGTGGAGCTGTCATAAGGCTTGTAAGTTGTGTGAGTCAACATTCCCCTGGATGTGACTCGCTTTCGGAATGAGTTGCCGGGATGTCGTTGAGGCAGTTATTATTGTCCGAGTCCCATTTGTTGAAGGCGAGAGTTTCGATAATGAAAATCATATGAAAGTGCGAATGCAACGACGGGAAAGAGGGCGACGACGACGACGACAACCCCGAGCTCGGCCAATGACGGACGACCTGTTCGGAGGCAAACCAACGCGGGACGCCGCCGCTGTGCCTGAAAAGTGGAAATTTCCGGGCTTATGTAATTACCCGTCTAAGCTTGGGCCAAGACATCTCTAGATGGCCAGTGCTTCTCAATAGGTACGTATCTCAATCAGTGAAGGTACCGGTTCCCTCCAGTCCCGCCTGTCTGTCACTTGGATGCTTTCTTTACTTTTACCAACATCCTCCTAACTTGGAGAGTTCAACACCAAATCTCCTAGGCGCCTCCATCAAGTGATGGTTCACGAGAGCTGCAGATGGGCGGGCACTACCAAGTTCAACCCCTATCTCGTCACTGCTTGTCTCGGCGCATTTCGACTCACCGGATCCCAGATGCCGCACTCGACAAATCACTCTTCATCACTCTCATCTCCCTCTATGCGCATTACGAGCTCAAGTGGCTCCGCTACCACGCTCTAGGCTCTCACGGCTCTCTGAGAATCTGGAAAGACTGGGAACTTCTTTCAAGCCAAGAGCTTCACAGTCATGGGCAGGCGCTTGCAACTTCGAGATGAAGATTGCCCATTTGCTGCTGCACCATTCTCTAAGCGCCCACGATACACAGCCAATCATGAAGCTTCGCTACGCAGTAGAACAAGATGCCACCATGCAGGGCTCCATACATCGACGTTGTTCAGGCTCTTTGGCTCCTGGTCACTGGTCACTGGTCACCACTGCCTGGGACTGCAAACTCAACCACTTGTTTCTCTCGACACTCCTGGGCAGCTGGCTCACTCTCATCGTCGAGGAGGCCACCGAGGCGGCGACGAGACCCATCTCGCCCATTCCCTGCAAATGCCATGCCAGCCCGGCCACGCCCTCCCGTGTGAGGTGGTGGTGTCTACAGTCTGTGTGCGGCGGTGCGGCCTGCCTATGCCTTGAGGAATATCCAAGTTTCCCACCCCTCTCTCTTCTCTGCCGCTGGCGAGCGCCTCCCCCCCTGGTTCCCGGTCCCATCCCATCCCCATCCTGGCCCCATGTCCCTACCTTATGCTGCCGCTTTGCACTTTGCCCAATGCTTCCCGCTGCCAGACCCAAACCCTACCTGGCGCTTGCTTGCTTCCCTCCTGCTCCTGTCGTCCTATCTGGCACGTTCTTATTCTTCGTCCTGGACGCGCTCTCCCCTCTGGTTGATAGTTCTCGGCTTCTGACCTTTTTTTTCTCTTGAAATACACACGTTTGGAAAATACACTGGTTTTGTTTCCGTGCCGCAGCCGTTTCATCCATCTGACGGGCCTAACAACCGGCCGGCCATATCTGCGACCTCTCCCGTGAGACTCGAACCTGGACCCCACCACCCCTCATCAGCAGCTGCGATCCTCTCAAGCATCCAACGATAGGCACGAAACCTCGACCTTCGACAGCTCCTATAAATAACTTTTTGCTCCCCCTGACCTGCAGACTTGAGCTCTCGCAGTGCGTCATTCGCATCCCGCATCAAGCATCCGCGTACCTGCGCAAGTCGGCCGGCCCCCAGATATCCGTACATATCTATCTTTGGCCAGATTCGACGATACCACATCGCCGCCCATCATGGAGCGCAGTCGCGGCCTTCCCGATGCCGAACTGTTCCTTCACAAGCCCGCCGAAGAAGACTGCGATAGCCCGACCGTTGAACCCTTGAGAATATTCAAACCTCAGAGTCCCAACCCCGCCAACGACCGCTTCAAGTACCCCGCGCCTCCGTCCGCCTCTGGCTCCTCCTCCTTCACATCGAAGCCGACCTTCCCTCTACCACCAGGCGCCTCGAGCTCAGCTGCCCCTCTGCCGTATCCCGACGAGGAGGATCTTCGACCTGGAAAACCTACCAAACCCACCATCACCGCCCCGAAGCGATTTGGCTCCGACTACAATGATACTACCCCGCGCTTCAATGCGACCAGCCCCGTAGAGACCAAGAGTCCTACCCTCGCCGAGCGACGCGGCACCGGTCCGAGGCCCTTGGGCGCCACATCTCCTCAGAGCCCGGCTGGCGACGACGGCGGCCTTTTCGCGAAGCCCCTGACGGCGCCGCAACCTCAGCGACCGGCTGCTTCGACTACAAACTACCCGTCTTACACCAAGAAGCCCTACTACCCGCCACCGGGTGGCGCATCCAGTTCTACGCCGCCCGCCCAGAGCCAGAGCCAGTACCAGGCCCGGCCACCACCTCAGAGTGCTCAGAGCGCTGATCATCTCGAGATGCCCGGCCAGAACAGCGTGAACAGGTTCGCCTCGACAGCTTCAACCTCCACAACCCGCGCCAGCCGAGGATCCCCACCCCCGCCAGAGACCCCAATCGTTGAACCAGGGGTCATCCCGGGCGGCGGTATCGAGGCGCGATATGCCGCCTCTGGCATCTCGGGCACGGCAACACTGACCAGCCTGCAGGCGCAACAGGCACAGAGCGCTGCAGCTTCCCAGAGATTGGCGCAGTATGGAGGAGCACCACCACCCGCGCGGCCATGGACTCCCACGGAGAACCCAGAGAACCAACCTCATGGTCCGCCCACAGTATACCAGGGCATGAACCCAGTTACGAGTCCTACGCAACCTACCTTCAGTCCTCCCCCTCAACAAGCAGAGAACCAAGGGGAACAGACGAACCTGCAAGTCAGCGTTCTAGAGCAGGATTATCAGCGACTAGGCTTGAACGATCCCCCGCCAGCCTACTCGAGTGTCACGCCTTCAGGCAACCCATCTTACCCAGCCGAGAAGCAACGGCCCACTCAGCAAAGGGCAGATTCAACGCCGTCCGTGTCCACGGCCTCTGCTGCTCAGTCGCCCCCGAAGAAGCCCGCGACTGTCGGCCCTGCAGCAGCCGGGCTCGCGTCACCTTCGTTGCAAGGCCACCCCGCCTTTGCCAACGACCCGAGGCCAGAGCAAAACGGACAGCCCTCGTCATCCCAAGCACAGAATGCCCCTGTCACACAGACTGTACAAGCACCTCCTTCCTTCCAAGGCGCTGGCCCTTCTTCGCCGCCACCGCTACCCGAGGGCTGGATCGCCCACCTGGACCAGAACTCGGGACAGTACTATTATATTCATCTGGCTTCTCAGGCGACGCAATGGGAGTTCCCCAAGGGGCCCAATCCTATTACACACGAGGCAGCTCCCTTGTCTCCTACGGCGTCGACGTACGGCAACCCGCTCGCATCGCCCATGTTTGGCAAGCAGGCCATGGCCTCTCCAATGTTTCCCCCTCAGACACCGGGCTATGCTGAGAGCATCATGAGTGTTGCTGCGTCCCAAACGCCTACAACTGCTGGATTTTCTGGACCACCTCCAAGCGCCGGTGTTGACATGTACAGGATCCAGCCCACGAATGGTGTGTACTTTGGACCGTATCTCCGCTACTGCAACATGGACTTTGAAAAGGGGACATGGCTGGGTAGCATCATGATCGTGACGGACGCACCGCAGCCCCCGACCATTCACATTCACCCGAGCAACGACCTTTCACCTAACCCGCGACAGTTGGTGCCGCACAATATCTTCACTCATCAGCGCTGGACGTTTTACAAGTACGATATTGAGCTGCCCATGAGTGAGAGCGGGACCGAGAGATGGACGTACGCAGTCACTTCTCATCTGGGATGCACGAGATACGAGTTTGTCATTGCCGGCCGCCATGAAGTCGGCTGGAGGTTCATCGCTCACTCGAACAATGACTTTGCCGCCTCAACATCTCAGGCCGAGCGCTCCAAACTCGGTGGCGTGGGCTTCATGTGGAAGGACGTGCTTCAAAAGAACGTCGACTGCGGCGGCTTCCACGTTCAGCTCGGAATGGGCAACCAAATTTACGGTGACAGACTATGGAAAGAGGTGCCCCTGCTGAAGCAGTGGTTGGCGATGAGCGGCAGAGACAACAGGAAGAACGCGCAATGGACCGCGCGCCACGAGGAGGACGTCTCGCACGCCTACTTCCATTACTATACCAGCCACTTTGACCAGCCTTACCTACGAGAGGCCTTTGCTCAGATTCCGCATGTTTTGCAGATTGACGACCATGACATGTAAGTGCAGTTTTGTACCTTGTGATATGTGAAACAACTGACCTGGCCCAGTTTCGACGGCTATGGCTCGTATCCCGAGTACATGCAAGGGTCCCAAATGTTCAAAAACGTAGGTCGCATTGCCGTCGAAATGTACCTTCTCTTCCAGCATCACACCACGGTAGAGATCCTCCGCAACGTCAGTAACGACATGGACCTCTTTACAATCACCGGCCAAGGGTGGCACTTTCTCAAGTACCTCGGTCCAGCCGTCTGCGTCGTCGGACCAGACTGCCGCTCCGAGAGGAACCAAGCCCGCGTCATGGCCGGGCCGACCTACCAGGGCATATTCCCCAAGGTCGCGACGCTGCCTCCCAGCGTACAGCACTGCATCTGGATGGTCTCCGTGCCGCTGCTGTACCCGCGCCTCGAGGCGGTCGAGAGCTTGGCAGGCGCCGTCGCGACGGGCAAAAAGGTTGTCAATACCTCGTACAACATCCTCGGTAAGGTTACGAGCTCCGTGGCCGGCGTCGTTGGCGGTAAGGACGTTGTCGCGCAAGGATTCACGCAGGTGAAGAAGGCAGTCGGCAAGTCTGGTCTCATGGGCAACGTCCTGAACCAGTTTGGCGAGATTGACATTGCCGAGATCCTCAAGGACATGTGGACGCACGAGTCCAAGGACCTGGAGAGGACGTACTTTATCCGCACGCTCCAAGGCATCTCCCAGCAAAAGGGCATTCGCATGACTTTCTTGTCAGGAGGTAAGTTTCCGAACCCAACGACTCTTCTTTTCTCATGTTTGTCCCAACCCACTGACAAATGCCACGCAGACGTCAACTGCGCAGGGGCAGGCCTGGTCCACGACCCAACCCACCCGAGCGACCACAAGACAATGTACCAAGTAATCACCTCCCCCATCGTAGCCCAGCCCGCGAGCAACTACATCCTCAAGCTCCTCCACAACAACAAGAGCCTCTACGTGCCGCAAAACGGCCACAAGTCCAATCACGAGGTGTCCGATTCCAAGGAGGACATGATGGAGATTTTCCACACCGACGCCTCGGGCTCCGCGCGCGAGCTCAAGAAGCTCATGGGACGCAGGAACTACGTCGCCGTCGTGGCGTATGACCCAGAGACCGTCGCCGGTGGTCCTGGTGGTGTCGGCGGGTCGCAGTATGCGGGTAGCATCGTCAACGGAGGACAACAGCAGCAGCAGCAACAGGGGTTGCAAAAGTTGAGTTTGGCGGTGGATTTTGTCGTGCAGGGTGATGGTGCGTTTACGGCGCCGACAAAGTATGGGCCGGTGATTGTGCCCCATTTGGAGTTTGGGAGGTAAAGAAGAGGTGGGTGGGTGTGGACGGTGATGGTGATGGCGATGGTGATGGTGATGGTGATGGTGATGGTGATGGCGATGGTGTTGTCATTTTTTTCTTGGATTTACTTTAATATCTCTCTGCCTTTCTCTCTAGCAACCCCATCCCCAAGGTATACAGCGGTAGCTTGACGACCTGATGATATACTTCAAATCTACAACATTGATTCTCGCAGCTCGTACGCGACATTGTGACTTTTGCCATCATCTACCACTTTGAGTGATCATTGTACTTCATTTCCATTTGCTGCTCTACTGAAAATTCAAGTCTCGAAAGCGGGCCTGTTATGGCCGCTCTCGACATGTCGCAGGTCTGTTGTTCCCCAAGGCCACAGCCCACGACCACAAAGTCTAGAAAGCTGGCCCCATGACATCTCAACCCCATTTTCGTCGGCTTCATTCGCTGGTCAAGCTAGGTTCATTCATTCCGGCTTGCAAGTCCATTTGTAAGATTCCCTCTCAGAGCCTACTCCTCTCCGCCGCGGTTCACAAGTCAAACGTCTCCTTGAGGATGCGAATGGTATCCTCGGGGCCGGTAACAGAGTGACCAATGGTGCGCTCGTCGACGTAAATCTCGTAGTCGTTTCCGCCCTCGGCTGTCTTGTCGCCAAAGAAGTGAATCTGCTCGTACTTGACGCCGCCCTCCTTCTCCGCCTCCTTCTCGAGGTGCTGGAGGCAGTACGTCTTGTCCCAGCCGGTGGGGAAGACGTCGAACGAGATCTGGCCGCCGATGCTGAACGTCAGGCCCAGGTGACCAAACTTCTCGCGGAGCTTGGCGACGAAGTCGCGGCGGACGTTGTGGATCTTGTCGTAGGCCTCGAAGGCCTGGCGCTCCTCGTTGGAGGCGTTGCGGCCGATGGGGGAGATGTTGACCATGCCGTTGCGGAACTCGATAAAGGTGCCGCGCTTGATGGGGATGTCGAGGTCGGCGATGTGGTGGAGGGCGAAGCGGACGAGCTCCTTGTACTGGTCCTCGCCAATGTACTTTATGAAGCTGTTGGAGGCGAGGGGCTGGCCGAGCTTGTAGGCCGTCAGGCCGTTCTCGGAGAAGCAGAAGTCGAAGAGGGTGGTGACGGGGGTGGTGGCGTTGCCGAGCTGCTCTTGCTGCTTGGAGTAGTCGGAGCCGCCGACGAAGCCGATGGCGCACTTTTGGCGGAGGCGGGCGAGGAGGTCGAGGATCTCGGGGGAGGCGGCCTGGAGGAGGGGGGGAAGGAGGTGTTAGCTTGGATGGGATTTCCTGGTGTAATGCGACGAGCAATTTCTCTGGGAAGGGGTAGAGCTGGGAGGAGGCCGGGGGAGTTTAAGATCTGATTTTAGAAGAGTAGCTTACCAGACGAGCGGGAGTGAGGGTGCCGTCGACGTCAAAGAGGCAGATGGTGTTCTTCAGAGGGCGCTCCGTGAGGGGAGGGTAGCTGGGGAGAGAGGTAGCCATCGTGACGGTGTTTGTTCTTGTGAATGCTGGCACAATGCAGGTTCGATTTCGGTATTACGTTTGGTGGTGAAGCTTTGAGGAAAGAAGCTTTGTCGTGATAATTTCGCGCTTCGAGGGATGGGAGGAGGGATGGGGAAAAGTCCAATGTTAAAGTTGAGCAAAGGGAGGGCGGTCAATCGTGCAGGAAAGGAAGCTCTCCTTTTCGGGATGTGGCAGGCGCGGCGCGGGGTTGCTTTTTGGATGGCGGGGCAAGTGAGGTACTGTGGTGCACTGGTGCTTGTTGCGGTTCAAGGGTCCCCCTCTAATGGGTCTGGGTCTGGGCCTTGTGTAAGGTGTAGTACGGAGTGGGCAGTTGGGTGGGCTTTGAGCTGCAGGTGCGAAGAACCAAGAACATCGGGTTCGAATCAGTGCGATGTCGAACTTGATTTATAACTTTTCCTGAAGCTGTATCTTTCTTCAATGTTTACCACAAGCATTGGCAGGTATGATTTGACAATAGATTCGCAATTGTCTGCTGACCGAACACAATCACATCTTCCAACTTGCCAGATCTCTTAATTGCCCATCTCTTGATGATCTGTCCTTGTCTACCTCATCAACTTCGCTATTATTACACCGAGCTGTGGACAGCTTGCCTCTGACCCCTATGTGCAAACGGCAACGATACGAAGGCATTGGCATTGAAACGAGATGAGATACGCCATTCAAGTGATCACGTCTGAAACTCGCCCGCTGGATCATCTACGCCATGTATTGGGGCAGTGCTGAGATGACGAGTTGTTTTGTTTCCGCCAGGAACGTGGTAATACCGGGGGGGAGATGTAGACATCGTGGCCTCTGCGAACCTGGAAGTTAGGTTCCCTGAGCAGATCACTATGAGGCGCAAGGAACGATAGATTGCAATTTACAGCGGACTAGGAGGGCACTAAGAATACGCTAGGCGACGGAGGATCGTGGGCTTGTGATGGGACCTAGAACGGGCTGGGAATACTGCCCCTTGCGGCGGCCCCCCGGCAGGGATGCGTGCTCCGGGGCTCGAGGGTGGAGCCGTCCCCGGCTCCGACTTGGTGACCTTCACCTTAGTACCTTGGGTGCCTTGACGTCGGTGCATATCTTGCATCAATTACACGACCAATCTACCATTACTCACTGGTTGCTAGAGGACAGATATCTCTCTTCAATGTTTCTAAGCTAACACGCAATCCGACAACTACGCGAAATAATCAACTACCACCCTTACCCAGTGACGATCATGCTGCGCCTCTGTTTCGAAACAGTCCGGCTAGCAGCAATAATATGTGAGTGAGTCACTCTCTCATCTTGGACGTTCGAGCCAGCGAAAGTCCTGGAGGTCAATCGTAAACACCTTCGGCACAAGTAGGACGTTTTTGACAATTTCCCTTGCAAGATGTTGCCGCCTCACTCAATCCATCTCTTGACCGGCTGATTCCCAAGAGTCTCTTCTTCGTCACCGGTACCGCCCACAGGCTGCTGTGCCCGACGACCGAGTCCTATTTCATGGCCAGCATCAGTTGAATAAAGTAACTCAGAGTGAGGATGTCAATCGAAGGACCAAACTTACCTTGCCCAGAGGTCGTCGTCTCGCCGCTTCTAGTGATGTCGGTCTTGCCCTCACTACTATTAAAGACATCCTCATCTTCACGCAAACCCCCCTTCTCGAATCCGGTACCGTCACCGGCCTCTCGCTTGGTGTGAGAGCCGAATTCCTTCTTCTCAGTAGAAGGGTCGGATTCCCCTTCAGGGAGCGTCTCGCCCTCCAGGCCAGTGGTATCCCTCGCATTTGACCTCGAAACGGCCAGACCATCATCACGTTGGACTTTGGTCTGCTTCCCTTCACCTTGCCCTTCACCTTCACCTTCAACCTCACCAGTCCCCTCCCCAGCCTCCAACTTACCATCAGTCCCTCCCAACATCCCCTCCTCCATCTTCTCACCATCACCGCCGCCAAACCCAGCAGCGAGGCCCTTTCCAATCTCAGCAAGATCCTTCTTTCCCTCCTCACCACCACCGCCGTGGTCATAAGCCTTGAAAGCCCTCTGCGCAACATCCCCAATCTCGGTGTAATCAGGTCCCTTGCCGCCAGCTTGATCCGCCTGGAATCCAGCAAAGGCCTTTTTGGCGGCTGACCCGACATCCGCCCATTCCTGGCCGTTCGTGGTAGTCGTTGTCGTTGTCTGAGGAATTGACGAATCCCGCTGCTGCTGTTGTTGATCCTTCTTGCCTTGGTCTTTGCCGGCGAGTTGCTGGGCCAAGTCTGTGAGTTTGTCAAAGCCTCCCATGTTGGGTGTCTGAATTTCTCAACCTTTTTGGGTAGGTAGTGAGGTAGAAACTGGTAGGGCAAGTGAAATCCGAGTTGAGTGTGATTTGTTTTGCGTGGCTTGTTATAACCAAGGTTGGCATGAACTGGAATAACCTCACACCAGGAAGAGCCTTTGCTCGGTCATTCAAATCTCATTTTATACTTTGCTACTGCTCTTATCGTTTGTCAATGATCCAATATTGTCAGTCACCAAAGTGACGCGCCGTTCCCCCCTCGTGGAAGGGCATAAGTTGGCCAAAACACAAAAAGGTGTACACAATGACATGTCTTGGCAACCACACTCAGACGTACATGTACTTGCACACACGGAGCTGTGCTGAGCTGTGCTGAGCTCTAGAAACAGAAAGGAGAGATCAACACCAGATGAAGCGTTTGCTTTAAGTCTTGGCATCGCAACGCTGCACATTGCGTAGTTGGCATTCCATAATGTTCGTCTCAATACGTTGGTTGGGGCACGTCACAACTTCGGTTACTGATGCCCTTTCGCTCACAAGGGGTCTGGTGGTGCACGTACGGAAAGGAAGACAGAAACACATCAGATGGTAATCAACGTCTGCAACGTAGGACCGTGCCTGAGTGCCTTCAACCTCGTTCGTAGAAAAAGCTGTTCGCTAGATGAAACGGCAACCATCACCAACACATCACGAGACTTTGACACGTTAAAGAAGCCAATGAGGTATCAAGCCAACCGAGATGCTTGTGTAAGAGGGACGCTAGCATCTGTGTTATTTATTTTTATAAACTAATGTATATGTAGATTCGTGTTTCCTCTTTTTGTACTCAGGAGGTAAGGACTGTCTATAAGTGGAAAGACAGAGAGTTTTCGTTTATTCTTCTCGTCGCACGCTATGCTTGGGTATACTCATACGGCGCAATGCAATAACGCAATATTGATACAGTCTGTACGTGTGCCAGCAGTCAAAAGGGAGAAATGTACCGTTAGAAAGATAGGGAATAGGACACGTCAGTCCACACTCCGGTCAGCTCGACAACAACGTTGACGATGGTGCTGATCATCCACAACACAATGAGACCGTAACCGATCTTCCGTGACATCACCCACTTGTTCATAGGTACGATGATGAGGAGGCCAAGCAGTGTGATGAGTAGCGTGATGGCCGAGATCATCAACGTGCCTCCAATCTGAATGTTGTACGAATGGTACTTGAATGGCTTGTCTGGGTGTTTCTTATGTCGGTGGTTGGCGGCCTGGACCATCATGTAGACGCCGCCGATTCCTATACCGAGCAGGATATTGAGCATTGGCCCACCAAAGCACGCAGACCTAAAAGTAGTTAGCATGGCTGTCATCGGTATGTGGATGGATAGGTAGGTGAAGACTTACAATGCCATGACGGGGAAACCGAGCCGGGCAACGGTTATATCGGCAATTAGATCGCCCACACTGTTGCCCGCTGCGAAGATGGTCAGGCCCAGGAGGGCTTCTGATATGCCGAAAATGACGCCGACTGCTTTCAAGACACCGACGACTTCTCCGGCGATGGTAGAAATCCAGGCGATGGCAATGATGAAACCCATGAAGCAAAGCAAGAAATGGTACTTTGGCTTCTTATCAGGACTGGTCGATAGGAGAAGGAAGCCGAGAAGAATTGTGGATCCTAGGAGTGTATACAGGATGAGTCTGACAAGGACCTTGTAGGGTTGTTGGAAGTCTTCCTTCATGTTTGCCCAGAGAATGATGACGGCGAACAAAGGCCCGGTGAAGAGCTGGATCGCGACGAGCCATCTGTTCCAATGTCCCGACTCGTCTACAGGAGCTAGACTGCTCTCCGAAGGCAACGGCTTGGCGGGTTTTATGGCTTGTGGGTGACTCGTAGGTATTTCAGTTGCCACACGCGCACCACTCGGAGAATCGATAGCAATAAGCGCTGGAGAGCCCTTGGGAGAGTGATCAAGTGACTGCCCACGAGAGTGCGACAGAGTAGCCCGTCTAAAGCGCTGCCACTCCGTCTCTCCCTCATTGTCTTCGTAGGCGTCGGCAGGCACTGGAGCGTCGCAGTGGGAGTGGTCTCGCATCATGGGATCCACGGCAGTCTCGTCGGATGAATCATCCGCAGTCTCATTTTCGACAACCGGAAGTGTCAACACCAAGAGCAAGATGCTTGGTACAGATATAGCACTGACAAATCTGTCCCAGTGGCTTTTCTGCTTCCATCCTAGCAGAGTCGGGAACAACGTTGCCCAAAAGATGTGCGGCGGAGGCAGAATGGCGTATGGCCACCACCTTACAGGTTTGGGGTTGGCCATCTCATAAGGCGCAAATGGCACTTCGAGGCGCGCCGGTCCAGGCGGCGCAAAAAACTCGGTCGGTTCGGCCTGAGCAGCAGGCGTTAAAACAAGAGGCGATTCGGTGTAACCAGGGAAGGGCGATGCAGGCGAAGATCCGACGCTCATGCTGCCACGCCGACTTGGTATTTGGAGGGAAAGTTGACCAGGTGATGGCCGAGCCTCCAACGGTTCGCTCCCCCCACTGTCCTGTCTTTGTGGTACGGCGTCGACTGGAGGAGGTGCCAAGTTACCACCGATTTTGTAAGCTGGTGACAGACTTCGGTTTCTGCCCTCTTGGGCCTTTATCTGTTGGATCGGGTCTGCGGGTGTTGGGAAGCGCCACGGCGATGGCGAATGGTCACGACTGTTAATAGATCCGGGGATATCGCCAGAGGACAAGGCCCGATTCCTGTTCTGACCATATTCCTCAACGGCACCTATCGTGTATCTTCCTGAGTCGGATGGCGGCCCTCCCACTGTATTCGTTTCACTTTGTCCCCCGAGGTGGTTGACTGAGTAGGCCCGTCCATGCATCGGTCTCATCCTGTGGTTGCTTTCCTTCTGCAATTGAGCCAGAGCAGATCGGAATTCGAGAGCGCCGACTAGACTGGGACGAATAGGCGTGAGTGTGTTGCGCCTTCTGCCTCTAGGACGCAACACTCGCATGCTGCTGGCCATCTCTGCGACGACGTGCCGCCCATGATCGCTGTCTTCCGCCTCCTCGTCACTCTCTCCTTGACCATCAACTTCGATCCTAGGGCCAGCTTCCAATGCGTTGATGTCTCCAGCACTGGAAGCGGCTGCGGAGGTGACGTGCCGGTTCTCATCGTCGGGATCATCCCGGTATGGTTCCGGTGCCAGCTCGTCACTGAGATGCCCCACCGTCCCGTAGACATGACCTCGTGCGGCTGCTTCCCGGACCCGCCGCTGGCTCCGCCTTGTTGAGTACCAATGCCATGTGACAACGGTAACCACGTAGAAGATGTAGTAACAGACCATCGTTATGCATTCCCATAAATGCAGGTGGCCATCTGCCAGGAACACCATGGTGAAGCAGACAGCCACGATGAAGAAAGAGAGATCCCTGACGTACGTCTTCCTGCCAACTTTAAACTCGCGAACCAAAGCCATGGACCCGGCAACGACGGCGGTGATGAAGCTTGCAGCACCGATCAGCTCTCCAACAGCCATGCTGGCGCTATTGGAGCCCATGGCTGCAAAAGTACTGAAGACGTCGGGTGAGCCATTGCCAAAGGCGAGGAAGGTGACGCCAGCCAAACTCTCGCTGAGGCCGAGGATGGCAGAGATTGTGCTGAGATTAACGCTGAAGAAGTCGCTGGCGGCGATGCCAATAGTGGTGAAGAGCAAGCCGAGCCAGCAGACCAGGATAATGAAGGCCAACCACTGAGCCTTGCCAAGGTCGCAATAATACAGCGTCAGGTAGGAGAGGAGGCCAGCCTCGTCCTCGGCGCAGTGAGCCTTGACAAAGGCACACTGATCATCGGCGCGGTGGACATCTCGGCACTCGGTGAACTCGGATCGTTTGGCGAGGGGTGAGGATGAGAGTGAGAATGAGGCGTCTTGCAGTTGGAGCTGTCGTTGGGTAGCCTTGGTCAAGATGGACCAGGATGCCAAAAGACATATTAAGAATACGGTCGCGTAGAAAGGCCGCAAGCGAAGGGCGCCCCCTCGGATCTTGGAGGACGTTGGCATGTCTGACGTCAAAAGCTGATTGTAATTGGCTCATCCGAAGCCATGGCAGAGACCGCGCTGTCGCGTTGGCGTGGCCGTGACGCCGCTCGTTCCGCTGGACAAGGAGGAACAGATGTCTCTCAATGGAGTTTGCTATACAAAAAAGAGGGCTGCAGCGGGTTTGAGCTGAACAGCAAATGCAAGCGCTTCTCACCTTCATGTACGACTCATGGGGTTCTACCGTCCGAGGGAGGCAGCCCGGGAAAACCTGCCCAGCCTCCTTCAGGAACTATGAGCGACGCAAGCTTCTTGGCCACCACCAGGCTGGAAACCGCAGGCAATGCCCTGATTGCGCCAAGTATCTGCTCGTGTCTGCGTGGGAAACCCCCCTCCGACGTGGCTGTGCGTCAACGGAGCGGCAACTCCAAGAGAGGGGGGCTGCTTGCAACGGCAACTGCAAGAGAAGAGTTCCATAGTCCTCGGCAGATAGCGATCTTGCATCACGTGCCGATAACGAGGGGGCCGCGAAGGGCCGATCCAATCTGATGTTTGGACGAAACGGGATTTTCAGCTTCCCCGCCCCATCCGACCCGGAAGGATAAACTTGACACCTAATATTCGAGGCAGAAAACCTCTTTATTGTTGTTTCGCGTCGCCCAGGGACGTGCTTTTGGTGGGGAAAGTAAACACAAGGCTCGGCCACCCACTACAGCATTACAGCACACATGCAGCAAACAGTCAACAATTTGACGACAACCTCAGCGCCAACAACACGCACAGAAAAGATGCCTCGAGTGGCCCAAGTACCGCGTGCAAACAGCCGCGCAGGCAGTGTCAGAGCGACTTCCGGGTCGATGAACACATCGCCCTTCAAAAATTCACCAGTCAAGTACGTTTGCGACAGAAGCCCCCGTTTACCGACTTTGCATAGCAACGAAACTAAACAATGCGCAGAATCCCTCTCAACGATGATGCTGA